ATAATTTATATTCATATAAAATATAAAAATATATATTTTTAATTTTATTAAACTTATTTATAATTTTTATTAAAATTTTAAATTATATTATTTTTCTATTTTTTATTCGGATCACGGTGTTTGAAAGGTCTATTTTCACACTTTTTCTCTTCTCTCGTCTCTCCAATTTTTTCCACTTCTCTCTGCAACCAAATAGACGTAATTATATTCTTTACAGTTCGGAGGCTGGAGCTGTGAGATTCACAAATGTTTTCTAATCTAACAAACCAGGTGAACTCTCCTTTGCTCTAAATTTTCGGATTCCATCCTTCTTCACTATTTTAACATGGATTTCAATCTCAATTTAAAGGCCTTGCTGGATGTTCTCTCCTTTACACTTCTCCATAGCTATATATATTAATACGCTAAATCTATATTAGGGTTTGATCTTTTGTGATTTTGGTAAATAATTGGAGATTTTTAGGGTTTTTTAGCGTCTGTTTGGTTGCTAAGAAAATGAAGATGAGAGGATAGGGAATATTTTTTAAACTGAGACAAAGTTAAAAAACTCCGTTCTTTATTCGCGCTCTGTATAAAATGTTAGAAACCTTTGTGAACTTCCTAGTGACAAAATAGTTGGTATATTTTATTTTGTATGCCATGTTTGTACTGCTTCATTGAGAACAATTTTAGTTAGTTTCTTACCTCTCCGTATACTAGTTTTGAAGTGAACTTCAAGCTTGTTGTGTTGATTTTGGTATAGTTGTACTACATTTAGTGAAAGCTTCTGACACCTTGAGTTAGTTTTTGAACCAAACAGGATGAAGGTAAAGGAAAGCTAAACTATGTCTTAATGTCACAAAAATAACAGGGAGGCTAAGGTGTTTAATGAGTTAATCTTTTCAAGCACTTCAAAAAGTCTTATTCATGCCTTTTAAAATATAATATTGACAATTGTTTCTTATAGTTACAGTGAAATTAAACATTTTTTTATACAAAAAATTTAACACTATTATTTTTTATTTCGTCTTTTTTTTTTTTTACAGCCATGTTTAAAACTTGGTAACTTGAGAAAAAATCACAAATAACTTGGAGAGGATGGAGAGGACCCTCTTAAAGCTTAAAAAGAGCGTTGGGCTACTTATAATTTTAGAACGTGTATGTGTGTATATGGCCATTGAGGTAGTGCTTTTAAAACATGATTCTTATGATAGAGGTAGTGCTTTTCAGATACAATTTTGATTCATATGATTATGAGGTTATATATTGTGATTGACATGTTGACCCTTCAATAAAAGACTAATTTCTTGTAAAGCTTCTCCATTTTATGCAGTGTTTAACTTGCAGCTTTCTAGGCAAAATTTGTGCAACGATTCAGTTGCTTTTGCGTGATACTTTGACAGAAAATCAAAGGCTTTCTTTGGTTTGTTACTGCATTTCAGGTTCAGCCTCCTCCAGACTGAGCTTATCGATATGGAGGCGGAAGAAAGAAATGACAAAAGAAGGCTTGATTGCAGCCAAGGAGCTCAAGCGCTTCCAGTCCAACCCCATTCAACTGGATTACTTCATACTCTTCCACATCTCTCGCTTGCTTAAGTCTGATCTCATATCTGTTCTTGCTGAGCTCCAAAGACAAAACCAGGTTTTTCTTGCCATGAAGGTGCTATTTCTGTTTCTGTATAAATATCCCAAGGAGGAGTAAGCATAATAAAATAAATTATCAAAATTTTCTTGGTTTAGTTTGTGGGATAATGGGCAAATTTAGCTTAACAGAAAGTAATTGTGAACATGATGTTTCCCAGTTTTAGAGACAACTAAGCAAGGAAAGAAAATTACAAATCAAATACTGCTATGTACTTATGTTTCGTACTAGTTTTAAGTTTGGATATCTGATTTCATGGATTAAAGAAGAAGTGGATTATACTGATTTATTTTTATATACTCCTTTTCAGCAGGAAAGATAATGGAAGTGAATTCAATCTTTACTCTAAACTTGAACGTATTGCATATTTGAGTGTCTTTTGTCTGGGTTGTTAAGTTGACTTGTTTATCGATCTATTCTACTTGGTGTATGTTAAAGGGTATTTTGATTATGATTGTAATTACTGGACTACTGGTACATGTAATTTCATAAAAAAATTGTGAATCTAGATTCTGATGCATGATAGTTATAAAATTTCTTATCAGTGGCAGTTGAATCTAGATTCTTATCAGTTACTCATCAGGAGGCTCAAATTAGATGCTTGTAAATTATTCTATTACATCCTTATTTCTAAGATATGATTTTTTTTTTCAGTTATATGATGTGGTGCTAAAGAAATATGGTGTCGGCCAGATATGTTCTTTTACAGGGATATGCTTATGATGCTTGCTAGAAACAGAAAGGTAGATGAATCAAAGCAGGTTTGGGAAGACTTGAAAAGAGAGGAAGTTTTGTTTGACTAGCATACCTTTGGAGACCTTGTCAGAGCATACTTAGATAGAGGACTACCATTGGAGGCCATGGACATATACGATGAAATGAGGAGATCCCCTGATCCTCCTTTGTCTTTGCCTTTTCGAGTAATCCTGAAAGGGCTCCTTCCTTATCCAGAACTGAAAGAGAAGGTCAAAGTTGATTTCCTGGAGCTTTTCCCTGACATGATTGCATACGACCCACCTGAAGACTTGTTTGAAGGTCAAGAGTCAAGAAGGGAGAGTGAAATTGAGTACTGAGTAAAGTTTGCTGGTCGTTCACTAGGCTTTGCTTAAGAAGGGATGATGCCATGATGCTAGTCCTCGGATGTAAAAAGGGTTTGGGATCGATACAAGGTAAGAGAGAACCAATTGGCTACTACTTTTTCCTTTTGATGTTGTGATTTGTGAAGCTTTCTGAAAGCTTTTAGGCCTTTTCATCTGGGGGAATTATTCTCTCCCCCAAAGTTGACAACACAACAGTATGAATTTTTGAATGAATTGCTTTACAATCTGAATATTCCAGTAGCAATTGTCGCAATTAACTTTATGGTATGTGTCAATAAATGGGCGTTACAGTTGATATTCAAACTTGCTGCAAAATATTATCTTCCCTTAAATTGTTTATATTAGCTGGTTTCTCTAGGAGGTTATCATCTAAAAAATAGTTACACTCTTACTTTGTATGCACATTTATGATATTGTTAAATGCTGTCAAATTAGAATATATATTTATTTATTTATGTTTATGCATTTATATTTTTGTTTATGGAACGTGTTTTCGGCTATCTAATGTGGAGCTATGCAAAGGGCTTTCGTCCCATCCTACCATCGAGGTACACCTTGGGATGGGCTCGCTAGGCCTGCAGATTGACCTATCACGGCTCGTGACTACATCACAGATTGTGCCTACATTGCTTAACTATTTCACTCCCCGTACCACTATTTTTTTTTTTAATTTAAGAAAAAAAAAAAAGAGAAATGGGATAATTATAACCGCGCTCAACCTTGCCAATAACTCACTTCACACCTCTACACACTTCAAACACCTTAGCGTGCGTGTAAATGAAAATTTTAATTTTAAAATTTTGAAATGTTATTATTTTGAATTGCATTAATTTAAAATAATTATTATTTTAACAAAATTTTGAATATTGAAATGTGATGAAATAAAAAATAATTATAATAGAAAAATTAATGATATTAAAGATAAAAAATAAAATAGTAAAAATTTTATTCAAAATTTTAAGATTTTTGACAACTCTAATTTTTATTTTAGTAAGATAATTTCATTTTAACATTTTAAAAATCTTTTTACAAAAGAAATCTTTCCTTAAAACCTCTCTTCCAAACACTGCCTAAACTTTAAACTTGAAATATCTAAACTCAAGATATTTGAACTCCAGTTTAAAAAAATAAATTTTAACGTAAGTCTAATTTCTTCTCAAATAATCTTAAAGGTGTAGTCTCTTACATTCACTTTGTGCATTTAGACTTTTATTTTCGGAATATTTTACACAAAAATAGAACAAATTTTTTTTTCTTGTTAACTGGAGATGGGCCTTATAAACCTTATTTAACTGAACATTTAAAATTTTTTCTTGTCAACCAAAAATTTTAAATTTTAGGTTTGTCAAGAAAGTAGTATCAAAGTAAAAAATTACACTATATTTGGATTAAGGGGAGGGAAAAGAAAGCAAAAGAAAAATAAAAGAAAGTAATAAAAACAAAATTTTTTTTTATTTGTTTGGATAAACTTTTAATTTAAAAAAAAAAGATAAGAGGTGAAAATTTAATAACCTTCAGTTTTTTTTTATAATCCTTATTTTTTTAATCTATCAATTTAAAAGAAAAATTAAGGAAAAAAAGTTAAATTTTTTTTATTTTTATAAAAAATTATTATATTCATATTTTTATTATAAAATTAAATTTTATTATATAACTGACACTTCTTACAAAAATAAATTTTTATGAGTATTTTATATATATCATAATTTATAAATATTTTATGATTTTTCAAGTCTTAACATCGAAACAAACTAGATTATTGTCAGAATAAATTAAAAGGTTTAATTAAACATAAAATTAAGAGTAAAATCAATAACTAATTAATACATCATACCATATTAAATATATTTAATTTTGTTTAAAAAGATTTATTTATACAAGTTAAGTAATATAAAGATATATTTGTATATTATATGTTACTTTATAAAAAAAATATTATAATTGAAAAAAAATTATAATGAATTATATATTTTTTGCACTATTTATCCAAACAATAATAAATTAGAATTCCTTTGTTTTTTTTTATTAATTTTAATTTTTCAAACAAAAAATTCATGTATCTTTTAGAATTTTATTTATTTATTAATATATATCATTAAATTTTGGTCTAATTGGCAACTTAGCGTGTCTGGGAAATTCATAGTGAGTTTGGGCCTGCCTGCTTCAGCATTTGGACCTCACGTTTTAATTTTCCATCCGTCAGTGTTATTCTTTTTGGGGGCGGAAACTGCTATTACATTTACATTATTTAAGAGGAAAGAAAATAAAAGTAGGTCGGTGCTCTCTTCCTCAGATCAAGAAAAAACCTTACATTTATACCTTTTTTCACTGTTCTCGTTTAATTACCTTTTGAACATCTCTTCACTGCAGTTTTGCTTTCATTCTGTTTTTTCTCTTCAGATTTTGAAGATTCAGTTTGGTTTTCTCTTCTCTTTCGGTTCTTCGATTCAGCTAATAGGTGTGTAACTCGAAACGTAGGTGCTTTATTTTCTCTCTACACATATATTTGTTGGATTTTTTTGCTATGATTTAAACTTCTAATTAAACTTCTTTGATCGATTTATTTTCTTAAAAATTTTATTGATTCGACAAATTTAGGTTATCTGCTCTTTTTAAGCTATGTTGTTTGGCTGCTCAGAAAAAAAGTTTGAGATTATTTAATTTGATTCATCGAAATCCTTTACGTAAGTGTGATTAATACTGAAAGATTTGAACCAAGATAGATTTTTAATTTTTGATTAGGTATTTGTAAACCCTAATTATTATTTTTAAATTAATTAAGTATTATATGATACCATCCTTTAATTTAACATGTAGATATATGTATTCTGGTTGTGAAATTTCATCTTCAAATATTGTAGAAAGAAAATTAATTAATCTGTTTGCCCTAATTAGGAGACTTTGCAATTGTTGATGCCAATTAGGATTTACGAATTTTGAAAGTTATACTTATAGGTATAAGGATTTTAGGGATTTTTTAATCAAACTGTTAGAATCAAATAAAAAAGATTATTATAAGCTTTCAAGGGTCTGTGATTCTTTTAGCAACTAAACAGTAAATAATAAGATTATAGTATTTGAACGAAAAAATTGTATTTTTTTGTTCTTTTAGCAACTAAACAGTAAATAATAAGATTATAGTATTTGAACCAAAAAAATTGTATTTTTGTTGTTGTACTTTTAGTAGTGAAACAACTTACCGGTCATACTAGAGAGAAAGAGAAAAGCAGCCCAACAAACATAAATTACTCAATGGTGCTGGATTCATTTATATAATTATTTATTCAATTCTAATCTAATATGATTTCACTTTTTAGTAATTGTTTTTTCTTTTTAGCAACTTTTGTTGAACCAAAAGATATTAGTAAAAGGTGTAAAAACAATAAAAAAGCAACAATCAGATGGAGCTTATTTGATAAGTTTTTTATTCATGCTAATTTGAGCAGAGTAATTGTTGCAATGGTAAGAAAAAAACAAAAAAATTGTAAATAGAAGCTTCATATTGTAATCCTGGTCGCTTCTGATGCTTGTTTTCCTTCTTTCCTCACACAGCTAGGGTTTTGTCGATTGTAAATTGAATTGAATTAAGCAAACGGATCCGCTTATTCAAAGCAACCATGGCAAACCGTACGGACCCTGCGGCGAAGAGCATAAGGGGGACAAACCCTCAAAACCTGGTAGAGAAAATTGTACGATCAAAGATATACCAAAATACGTACTGGAAGGAACAGTGTTTTGGGTTGACGGCGGAGACACTGGTTGACAAGGCAATGGAGCTGGACCACATCGGCGGAACTTACGGCGGCAACCGGAAGCCCACTCCCTTTATGTGCCTTGTTATGAAAATGCTCCAAATCCAACCAGAAAAAGATATCGTCGTTGAATTCATCAAAAACGACGATTACAAGTAACTTTTCTTTAAAAAAAATGTTTTTCTGCTTTTCCCTTGTTTCAACTTCAACATAAAATAGGAAAGAAGTATGATTGTAACTATTATGCGGAAACTAATTGCAGGTATGTTAGAGTTCTGGGAGCTTTTTACCTACGTCTGACTGGGATTGATTCTGATATTTATCGTTATTTAGAGCCTCTGTACAATGATTATCGGAAAGTAAGGCTAAAATCTCCCGAGGGAAGTGAGTTTTTTTTTTTTCTTCTTCTAATTTTTATTGCATTCTTTATATAAAATCTCTCATTCTTTCATTAGCAAAATTGAAAATTTAATTTTTAGTTATTTAATTCACTTTTGTATCCCAGTGTACGTTTTGCTTTTTTTTTTTTTTACTCCAGCTAATTGAATTTGTTGGCTATGTATCACTTTTGGTGGATTTATTTATTGGTGTCATTTTGGGTGATCTTTACTGTATCAGATTTTACCTTGACTCATGTGGACGAGGTTATTGATGAACTTCTCACTAAAGATTATTCTTATGATATTGCTCTGCCGCGCATTAAGAAAAGGTAACTTTTTTTTTCTCCCTAGATATCTTTGGTTACTTGATTAATGTTATCAAATTCAAATTTATTATGTTATAGGAATTTTATTTTAAGAGAGCTAGCCAAATATGTTTGTGTTTTTAATATGTTGATTTGCTTGAAGATTGAGTTCATGATGCATCTTTTGACAGATGGACTCTTGAATCACTTGGTGCACTTGATGCAAGAAAAAGTGTGTTGGAAGATGATTTTGAGGAAGAGGAAGAGAAGGATGAGAACGAGCAAGATGATTTAGAAGAGGAGGTGGCTCATGAAAAGGTTTATAGTACTATTTTCCTTCTATTGGTGGAATGTTATTTATTTATTTATTTTATGTTGTTGTGGTTTCTCATTTATGATATAATTCCAATCTTTTTGGCAGGATTATTACCAAACCAGAAGCCCCGCAAGAGAGAGAGACAGAGATCGGAGACGTGACAGTCATAGACACAGGTACCTTTACTTGATTTTTTGCTTGTTCCTTGTTTGTGAAATTCTTGCACAGCTGCGCTCTCCATTAGGATCCTGCTATTTTATGGTATTAGATAGAAGGGCTGACACCTTTTTGGAACCATATCATACTGATTCTTTTCTGTTTAAATAAACTTAAGCTTTATTTTGTGTAAAATTGGAGAACCTGTGTATAAATTATTCTATATGGAGAGAGTAAGGAGTGTATTTGTTGGACGAAGGAAGGGGGATGATCAATTGTACATTCTTTCGAAAACTTCTCAATTGACACCAAGTAATAATCATTTTGTGTCTAAATGTTTATTTTCCAGAACTTTTGCGGAAACAGCAAAAGAAGGATAGAGCCTTAGTGTTTGTCTCATGATTATGGAAAAGGCATCCAATTGCCTTTGTGACTATTAACCTGGATAACCTATATGGTTGGACTCGCAGACTTATGGTTTCTTGTCCTTTTACCAGTTACCATCATTCAGCTAGAATAAATCGTTCAATTTTTCTATTTACAAGTTGGTTGTGTGTGTGTGTGTGTGTGTGTGTGTTGGGGTGAGGTGGGGGTTCTTGGGGATTGGGAAGGGGGAGGATAAATTGTGCATTTTTTTCAAAGCATCTCAACTGACAAAAGTTATTTTCATTTTGCCTGTATATATATTTTCCTGGAAATTTGGGTATAAAATCATAAAACATAATTGGAGCCTTAGTGTTTATCCCACGATATGAACATAAGTGTGAACCTACCTTAGTGCTATTAATTTGGATACCATCATTTGATTTGCAGACTTAATTTTCCCTGCATTTTTCCAATTGCTGTTATGCGGCTACAGCAAATTGGTTAGCTTGTAATAGCAGACAGGCTCTCTGCTTCCTTTTTAGCCATTTTACCACAAGGTTTTTTTTTTTTTAACTATTAGTGGAAGCTGTTGTTTGAGTATATCTTATTTTTATAGGCAAGGTATTCCAATGTTATGTTTCGCTTATGGCATTTAAAGCCATGGATGGGCTGAAAATGCTTCCTATAGAAAAATTCTTGTGGTCCTGCCAGGTTTCTCTGCACTGACAGTGTGCAGTGAGAAGTATGATGGATCAGACAATTTATATTAGGTTCAGTTTTTTAGCCTGATGATTTTCTCTTTTAACCTTTTAAATCAACTTTGGATTTTGGCTGCATTTATAAGCAAATATGTTAGTTTGTGGATGGGGTTGCTTTTTATAAGCTATCATTGAGAGATTGTAACCTAAAGGCACAAATATTGTTTTAAAGGTTTTTGTGACTAACATGGTGCTTCAAAAATTTGGATGGTTAGACACATGTGATTGTAATCTTTAATGAACTTTTTAGGGCTTGCATCAAAGTGTGATGGGTTTGCACAATTTGTTTTAATATTTGTTGTTGATTTTTCTTTGCAAACATTTTATTTGAAATTGAAAATAGTGAAGCATGATATTGTTTCAACAAAATGAATTTTTAGACTAATATCGAGTCTCAGGAGGTCTAGTGTTGTTTCTTTCCCTTTTCACAGAGATCGGGATTATGAAAGAGATAGAGATTATGATAGAGAACGGGGACGTGGCCGAGACAGAGATAGGGATAGAGAGAGGGACAGAGACAGGGATAGGGATCGGTATCGCTTGAGAGAGGAAAAGGATTATGGTCGAGAGAGGGAGCGAGATAGAGAAAGGGAAGGTAGGGAGCGTGATAGGCGAGACAGGGATCGAGGCAGACGAAGGAGCCATTCAAGAAGCCGTAGTAGGAGTAAGGACCGCAAGAGACATGCTCGCAGTAGCATTAGTCCTAGAAGGCATGAACCTGAGGATGGTAGTGCTCGAGAAGAGCCAAAGAAGAAGAAGGAAAAGAATGAAAAGAAGGATGATGGAACAGACCACCCCGATCCAGAGATTGCTGAAGCCAACAGGATCCGAGCATCCCTTGGTTTGAAACCATTGAAATTATAAGCATGATAGATTTTTGACGTGGCTACATTAACTGTTATATTTTATGAAGGCTTATTGGTGGTGTTATCTTCTTATCTAGTGTAAAAGCACAGTACTGTATTTACCCAGATGGTAGCTATTTTACTATTATTTTTTCTTTGCAGCAAACTCCGTTTTTGTAACTTAGCAGCTTGCCAAGAAATTGTGGTGTGAAAATTGTTAGATTCACCTTCCAAGACAATGTAGAAGGCAGCAAATAAAAAGTAACTTTGGAAAGTAATTTGAATTTGCTTTATTATAGAAAATTCTTAGGATGCGATGAATGCAAATATTATGTATAAATTTGTAAAGAGAGAATTTACTTTTTCTTTTGATAAAAAAGAGATTTCATTAATCACATAAGTTAGAGTCTATGATAATGGTATCGTGTAACTAGAAGGGTATCCCCCTATCCAGTATCTAATCACCCATCAGCTCAAGTGCATGCCTTGCATGTTTATGAGCAGCTTGGACGCCATGTGTGTTCCACTTTGAAATAGCTACACCTTGTGTGTTTCACTCTGAAATAGCTACAGCTCTGTGTTGAACAACTGCACAAAGGGTAGATTTGGTATCTCACTATAATTTTTATACATTGAATCAGATAATGAATTTTATATGGATAAAAAATCCCTCAAATCTAGTTTCTAAATTTTCAAACGAATATGGATTTGGAGTTGTGCTGAAGCAAAGAACAAAGCCAATGCTGACAAGGCAGCAGCATCAAGTGAGACTCTGCTTATGTCCTCTCTTAAATCTGCTGGAGCAAAGAAACTTAATCGCATTGTTACTTGGGCTGATAATAAGAAAGTTGACATTGCTCTTAGTGGCGATCTTTGTGAAATTAAAGAAATGGATACGCTGAAAGGAGATTCTGAAATATGTGGCAGTGCAGAAGATGGTGATGATGATAATATTTGCAATTTGTATCAGCAGAAGCTTGTGCTGTGGCATTAAGCAAGGCAGCAGAAGCTGTGGCATCTGGAGATTCTGATGTCACTGATGCTGGTAGGTTTTTGTGTGCTTTCATTGAATTTAATATAGTTTGAATGCTGTATTTAGTGACCATAACCCCATTTTGTCGCAAAAAATATGTACAGTTTCTGAAACTGGGCTTATCATATTGCCATGTCCAAGCGTGGCAGACAAGGAGGAGCCTGTGAAGGATGCTGATGTGCTTGAACCAGAAGTAGCCCCTGTAAAGTGGCCAACAAAACCTGCGATTCCACGTTCTGATATGTTTGACCCAGAGGACTCATGGTTTGATCCTCCGCCAGAAGGTTTCAGTTTGACTGTAAGTCTCATAGACCTAACAACATTACCGTATCATTTCTCCATTTTTTGATAGGGTTAACAACATTGCCATATTATTTCTGCATTTTCTACTTATGTTGATTGCTTCTCCTGCTCTTTTTGATGTCCACCAGCTGTCAACTTCTGCAACCATGTGGAATGCTTTTTTTGAATGGATAACATCATCTTCTTTGGCTTATATCTGTGGAAGAGATGAAAGTTTCTCTGAAGAGTATCTAACAGTTAATCGGAGGGAGTATCCACGGAAGATTGTCTTACGAGATGGGCGTTTCTCTGAAATTAAAGAAACTCTTGCTGGCTGTATTTCTCGTGCTTTACCTGCTATTGTTATTGATCTCAGACTGCCAATACCAATATCTACTTTGGAGCAAGGAGTGGTGCTAATTCTGAATTTCGAAATGGTTAATCATATTGAGAAAATTGATGATAATTCTGATTAGGACATTGAACTGGTTTATTTAGGAGGTTTATTATGATTGTAAGATCATTTTTCAAGCCATAACTTACTACTTCTGTTTATTAATGAAAGCTCTTTTTGCCAAAAAATTTCCTTGCACTTTGCATAATCTTGAGTTGAGTTGCTTCTGAATGTTCTCTAAATGTTCTTTTATACAGTGGCGCTTACTAGACACAATGTCTTTTATAGAAGCGCTTCCAGCATTCAGAATGAAACAGTGGCAAGTGATGGTTCTTCTGTTTGTTGATGCTCTTCCTGTATATAGAATACCTGCCCTCACTCCACGCATGACTAATGGGAGGACACTTCTTTATAAGGTGAGGCTCTGAGATTGTAAAGGTAGTCTCTTGGTATTGTTCAATGTAAAATTATAAGTTGAATTCTTGAAATGTTCAATGTAGTAACTAAAGCTTGATATGTATGATGTCTGCTTAGGTGGTTGACACCTGAAAAACAAGAGTTTTTGTGATATCATGATTTGTGTGATGACTGCTGTCTTTGTTGGCTGCAAATAGGTGCTGGATGGTGCCCAATTAAGTGTGGAAGAACATGAGGTTACGAAGGATCTGATAATACCACTTGGCCGAGCACCTCATTTCTCTACACAGAGTGGTTGATGTTAGAGCGAAGTCATCACTCCAGCTCTAGCTGATGGTATTTGGATAATGTACATAACTCCCTTATTTTCTTTTCCTTGGAAGTTGTCAAAAATTATTCCAAGGTGTACTCATGGACATTCCAGAACTATAATTAGTTTGTTTTTGTTAATGTATGATGGGAATATGGAAATATGCTAGTTGAAGGATTGAATTCTCTAGTGTTTTTATTTTATACTTTATGGGTTCAATCTTAATTTTTACATATCTTTAGGTTATTTTAGATGATTTAGGTTAATTTAATTAGTTATTGTTTTACTCAGTTTCCAAGTAGTAAGGCTTAAAAGTTATATTTAGTATACGTTTCTACTTGGGTTTAGTTATAAATGTTCATGTTATTTTAAGTTTGTAGGAGGTTTAGATTATGAGATAAAGATATTGATATTTTTGATATCTGAGTATTCCGTTATTGATATTTGAGGATTTTGGTTGAGAATGCAGATTATTCCTTGAGTATTTTGGTATGAGACTACTTGTTCTTCATCACTGTCATTTTGAGCTTAGATTTGGTTTTCTTTCCCACCCCATTAGCTACCATCACCTTCACCGACCGACTGCTCACCCCTATAGGAGAGTGGTGCTATTGCAAAATTTAAGGGAAACAGCAAAGATGTGAAAAAGGATAAACTCTCTGTTTCAGCTATGCTTGCTAGCATGGATCAGAAACCTGATAAAACGAAGAAGGGGGTGTCCTCTTTTAGTGCTACTTCTGCTAAACCCAAAGTGAAGGGCTCCAAGGTTTCATCTTATACTGATGGGTTTGATCTCCCACCCTCAGATGAGGAGGAGGTGGAGGATGAGTATGCCTCTGAGGAAGAGCAAACTCAGTCTAACAGACACCAGAGGCAGGGCTTGAGGTCACTTGATACCACAATAAGTGAAAAGGAACTGAAGAAACGTGAAAAGAAGGAAATGCTTGCTGCCCAAGCTGCCGAGCGGGCGAAACAGGAGGCCCTTAAAGATGATCATGATGCTTTCCCAGTGGTTATTGGTAGTCGGGCTTCTGTCCTGTTCGGCGAGGATGAAGCTGATGCTAATGTCAAAGATATACCCATAGACAACTTCTCTGTATCTGCTCGAGGGAAAGAGCTTCTGAAGAATGCCTCACTTAAGATATCACACGGTAAACGATATGGTTTGGTTGGACCAAATGGGATGGGCAAGTCTACCTTGTTAAAGCTTCTTGCTTGGAGGAAGATTCCAGTGCCAAAAAATATTGATGTGCTCTTGGTTGAACAGGAGGTGATTGGTGATGATAGAACTGCCCTTCAGGCGGTTGTTTCTGCAAACGAAGAGCTATTTAGGCTTCGAGAAGAAGTTGCAGGTTTACAAAATTCATCTTCTGCTCATGAAGGAGAGGATGACAATGATGTTAATGGGGATGATGCAGGAGAAAGGCTTGCGGAACCGTATGAGAAATTGCAGATCTTGGGTTCAGATGCTGCTGAAGCTCAGGCATCAAAGATTCTTGCTGGGTTGAGTTTCACCAAAGAAATGCAAGGTCGTCCCACTCGGTCGTTTAGTGGCGGCTGGAGAATGAGAATATCTCTAGCTAGGGCACTTTTTGTGCAACCAACACTTTTGTTGTTGGATGAACCGACTAACCACCTTGACCTTAGAGCTGTTCTTTTGTTGGAGGAATATTTATACCGCTGGAAGAAAACATTGGTGGTTGTGTCCCATGATCGAGATTTTCTTAATACGGTTAGCACCGAAATTATTCATCTTCATGATTTCAAGCTCCAGTTTTACCGTGGAAACTTTGATGATTTTGAATCAGGGTATGAACAGCGTTTTAAAGAGACGAATAAGAAGTTTGAAATTTATGAGAAGCAGGTAAAAGCTGCAAAAAGGTCAGGGAACCGAGTTCAGCAGGAGAAGGTAAAAGATCGAGCAAAGTTTGCAGCAGTAAAAGAAGCGGTGAAGAACAAGGGAAAGGGCAAAATTGATGAGGATGAACCTCCAGCTGAGGCCCCGAAGAAGTGGAGAGATTACAGTGTGGAGTTCCACTTCCCTGAGCCTACTGAATTAACACTGGCACTTTTACAGATAATAAACGTAAGCTTCAGTTATCCTAACTGGGAGGATTTCAGACTCTCTGATGTTGATTTGGGTATTGATATGGGGACCCGCGTTGCCATTGTTGGGCCTACTGGAGCTGGTAAATCTACTCTCTTGAACCTTATTGCTGGTGATTTAGTTCCAACAGAGGGTGAAGTACGAAGGAGTCAGAAGCTGAGGATTGGTAGGTATTCACAACACTTTGTACATCTACTAACTATGGAGGAGACATCCGTGCAGTATCTTCTTCGTCTTCATCCAGATCAACAGGGACGTAGCAAGCAGGAGGCTGTTCGGGCAAAACTTGGGAAATTTGGACTTCCCAGCCATAATCACCTCACTCCAATTGCAAAATTATCTGGAGGACAGAAAGCTCGAGTTGTTTTTACTTCAATTTCCATGTCAAAACCTCATATATTGCTACTGGATGAGCCCACAAACCATTTAGACCTGCAAAACATAGATGCTTTGGCTGATGCTTTAGATGAGTTTACTCGTGGAGTTGTCCTGGTAAGTCATGACTCTAGGCTCATATCACGTGTCTGTGAAGATGAAGAGAAGAGTCAAATTTGGGTAGTAGATAATGGGACTGTGAACACTTTAACTGGTACTTTTGAAGACTAAAAAGAGGAGCTGCAAAGAGAGATCAGAGCAGGGGTTGATGATTGATGCGGCAGTTAATGTAGGTATTGAGTTTTCCAATATATTTATATTTATCCATATAAATGCATTTAGACCTGCAATTTTCTTCGTATTTATTTTTCTGGAAAAATATTGAGTGTACACCTGTATTGCGGATTTGTTTGAAATTCAGAGCCTAAGAATTTGGCATCGTACACTAGGAATAATTCAAGCTCATTAATCAGTTATCAAGTTTTATTGGATAATATACTTAGTTTGCTGTAAACTTCTTTTTCAGGATGTTAGAATTGCTATATTTTTCCAGATTATCTAGTACAATTGATGTGTGGGCTTTACTTCCTTTTTATTCCCCGTTCTATAACTTTGAGAATAAAGTCATTTCTGCGTTTGGGTGGTTCATATTTTTTTACCAATTTTACATTACAGTCCGGCAATGCTACTTAGGATGCTTGAAATCTGTGTTTCGCAACAGTTACTTGGGATGCTTTGAATCTGTATTTTTGCCTGTCTGTGGTGAAACTTGTTGGAGAAGGTTGGTAGTTTTTTGAATTTGCTCTTGGCAAGAAGAACCGTCTACCAGAACAGCCTGTCCATGCT